TTCAAATGACTTAGTAATAAAAGCAAAGAAAATGATCAAGAAACTGTGGAGGGCAGCAAGTGACTAACTCCCTTCTGGTCTAATATACTAACAGTAGGAGTGCTCAAAATAACATAGATGAGCTATGATTAATTGCATGTGCTAGAAGCATAGATATTACTGCAATAACAGACCTGGTTCAACCTGAAAGATAGACAAATGCCTTCTGAATGACACATACAAGGCTATAAATTATTCCACATCAATAAGGAAAACAAAGGGGAAAGATAATTTAAACTGTTGGATTAGACAAGACATAAAAGTTGAAGTGATGGACACTTAATCTATTTGAGTACAGTTTCTCAAAGGATGTGAAAAGTTTATTCTGAGTGTAATTTACATGCCCCCCAAACCTTAATAGGGAACACTTGTAATTTTTTTTTTAATATACTGGCTGTCTCCTATCAAGATAGGGTAACCTGAAAAAAAAAAACTTTCACCATTAATGTCTTCCCAAGGGTACACCAACACTTCAATATCCCCACCCTTCCCTCAGAGAGCAGGCACTGAACTTCCCACCTCCAAGACTCAAGTCCAGCTAACCAGTTTCCTTGAATCATGTTACCTTGTTCACTTTCCAGTAGAATGTTAAGTAATAAAAATCATTTGTCTCTACTCCCCTCTAATATGCTAACACATGCCTGTTGGATGTCCAAGCCCATCTCATACAAAACCTCCTCTACCTCCTCCCTCCAACCATGCCGTCTCACCTCTACAGATTTATACAAATAATCTTATTATTTCTTTGTACTCTCTCAATATCCAAACCATCTCAACATCCCTCTGGATAATACCCTTAGAAACCCCACACCTCCTAATCTCCAAACTACAAATTCTCTGCATAATATTCACACCACACACTGCCCTCAAACATGACATCTCCACTGCCTCCAGCCTCCTCCTCGCTGCAATATTCACAACCCATGCTTCACATCCATATAAGAGCATTGGTTCCACTATATTCTAATAAATTTACCTTTCTGTTTCCATGGATGATGTTCTTCACAGATGCCTCAATGAATTGCCCATCTTTTTCCTTTCATCAGTTCTATGGATCACTTCATCTTTCACAGGCCTATCTGCCAACAAGTCCACTCCTAAACATCTCAACATATTCACTCCCTCCTTCCAATCTCTCTTTACCAATTTCATTTGCTACCCTAATCACCTTGTTCTTTCTAATGTTCACTTTAATTTCCTTCCTTTACATACCCTCCCAAATAAGCCAACCAATAACCTAACTTGAATTCCATTCAATCAAGTCTATCTTCTACCCTAATCTTATTTACCTGCAAGAAAAACTTCAAATAGGGTTTTGATTTCCTGGCAACTTAAATTTAATTCTCTCTTTGCTTTGCTTTTTTTTTTTTTAACTTCAAAAGCAATTTCCCACCAAGGCAGAGAGACGAAACATTTTTTTTTAACACACTACCAATCTTCCACTGATGTAGGATGACGCCCCACCCGAAAAAAAAAAACATCATTCACAATGTCTTTGCAGAGGCGTGCAGACACGACAGTTTAGATGTCACTCTAAATAGCAAATATCCCAAATCCCTCCTTCAAAGTGCAGGCATTGTGCTTCCCACCTCCAGGACTCCAGTTCAGCTCATGAAACTTTTTTTTTTTTTTTAACTCTGTGGTCATCTCCCACCAAGGCAGGGTGGCCCAAAAAAGAAACACTTTTACCATCATTCACACGTAATCACTGTCTTTGCAGAGGTGCTCAGATACGAGTTTAGATGTTACTTGAAACAGCCAATATCTCAAACCCCTTCTTCGAAGTGCAGGCATTGTACTTTGTATCTCCAGGGCTCGAGTCCACCTAACCAGTTTCCCTGAATCCCTTCACAAAATATTACCCTATTCACACTCCAACAGCTCATCAGGTCCCAAAAACCATTAGTCTCCATTCACTCCCATCTAACAACCTCCCACATGCCTGCTGCATGTCTAAGCTCCTTGCACACAAATCTTCTTTTACCCCATCCATCCTTTCTTAGGACAATCCAACCTTCCTACCCTCTACTACAGATTTATACACCCTCCAAGTCATCCTATTTTGCTCCATCCTCTCTAAATGACCAAACCATCACAACAACCCCTCTTCAGCCCTCTGAAAAATATTTTTAGTGATGCCACACCTCCTAATTTCCACACTATGAATTCCTGCATGATATTTACACCACACATTGCCCTTAGACATGACATCTCCATTGCTTCCAGCCTCCTCCTTACTGCAGCATTTACAACTCATGCTTCACACCCATAAGTGTTGGTTCCACTATACTCTCATACATTCCCTTCTTTGCCTCCACGGATAACGTTTTTTTTTTTTCTCCACTGATACCTCAATGCACCACTCACCTTTTTTCCTTCATCAATTCTATGGTTAACCTTACCCTAGCTGGTCCAGTGGCTAACACGACAATCTGGAGTTTCGACTCTCTGATCGCGGGTTCTATCCCCGCCCGTGGTATGGTTTGTTTACAATCGTGTCATTACGATTTCGTGAGTCATAACTCTTTTGATACCTCATCACCTTACTCTTATCTATGTTCACTTTCAACTTTCTTTATACAGCCTCCATTATTCATTCAATCACACTCTTGTCAGAAGTTGATGACATCACAATCAGTTTACCCACCCCTTCTTCAGAGTGCAAGACTCAAGTTCAGTTAAAATGTTTCTCTGAATCTCTTCATTAATGTTACCTTGCTCACACTCCAGCAGCACACCCATTAAAAAATACTTGTCATCATTCACTCCTACATAACATGCTCACACAAAGCCTCTAGATGCCCAAGCCCCTGAAACTCCCTTACCCCCTCCCACCTTAGATTATATATTCTCATTATCATTCTAACCCTCTCTACTTTCTCAAACAATCTCTACACTGTCTCAATCCTTTGAATTATACAATATATCCACTTACCATATACTCTGTCTCTCCAGTCTGATAGTCTATCACTGCCTAGATTTTTTTGTTATCCTCATCACCTTCCTCATTTCTATGTTCACTTAATTTTCTCTTACATACCCTCAAGAATTCACCCACCAACCCTTGCAACTTGTCTTCTACCTACTGCCCTGTGCACTGTCCCAATACCCAACTCAGGCACCTTACTCATATACTGTTATCACTCCCTCCCAAATGAATGAAAATGCCACTTCCTATTGTCATTAACATTCAACTACAGTACTTGTCAACATATCCTCTCCATCTTCCCATCTAATATTTTCCCTTCTTTAGCTTTTAAGTGCTAAATCTTCCAGGCTGAATTCATCACCTTACCGCTCTCTCAAAAACTGTTTCTTATTCTCAGCAACTTGTTGAATATATTGGTTTACTATAAGATGACCCTTTCCTCTTCTGATTCACATTTAAATATATTTTTTTTCTCTTTGTTTACAGTTTATCCATTCAGGGTTGTGTGTGTCTCATTACTTCTCTATAAAGGCAGTTTCACATTCAAAACTCAAAGCCATATATTTTTTTTTTTAGCACACCGACTATATCCCACCAAGGTAGGGTGACCCGAAATAGAAGAAACACTTTCACCATCTCCCTCTCCATCACTGTCTTGCCAGAGGTGTGCTAATACTATAAATCAAAACTGCAAATATCCCCACCCTTCCCTGAGAGTGCAAGCACTGTATTTCCCACCTCCAGCACTCAAGTCTGGCTAACCAGTTTCCCTGAATCCTTTCATAAATGTTACTTTGCTCCCACTCCAACAGCACATCAAATCATAAAAACTATTTGTCTCTACTCACTCCTATCTAACACGCTCACGCATGCTTGCTGAAAGTCCAAGCCCCTCGCACACAAAACCTCCTTTACCCCTCCAACCATTCCTAAGATGACCCCAACCCCACCTTCCTTCCACATCGGATTTATATGCCCTCCAAGCCATTCTATTTTGCTCTATTCTCTCTAAATGTCCAAACCACCTCAACCCCTCCTCTGCCCTCTGGATAATACTTTTAGAAGCACCGTACCTCCTAATCTCCACGCTATGAATTCTCTGCATAATATTCACACCACACATTGCCCTCGGACACATCTCCACTGCCTCCACCCTCCTCCTCGCGCAACATTCACAACCTGTACTTCACACCAATATAAAAGCAATGGTACCGTTCTACTTTCATACATTCCCCTTTTTGCCTCCATGGATAACATTCTATGTCTCCACAGATGCCTCAATGCACTACTTGCCTTTTTTTTTTTCTCATTAATTCTGATTCACCTTGTCTTTCATAGAAACCATCAGATGACAAGTCACTCCCAAAATTCTAACACATTTATTTCTGCCATCTTATGTCCAATCTTTCATTACCTAAACTTTTTGTTACCCTGATCACCTTGCTCTTTCCTATGTTCACTTTTAACTTTTTTTTTTTAACATATTCTCCCAAATTTGTCCAACCTTTGCAACTTCTCTTCAGAATCTCCCAAAAGCATGTTGTCATCAGTAAAAAGCAACTAATATGCACATTAAAATGTGTGTATTAGTTATTATTGTTATATTCATGGAGGAGTGCTAAATCCATAAGGGGCAACCAGTGCCCGGAGAAGAGGAGGTGATTATGATAAATCTGAAGACAAGGACCCTTGTGGTTTAGTGCTTCTTTTCGATTATAATAAAGAGGATGTGTCTAACTCCTTGGATCAAGAACCCTTAACCACATTTCTTGGAAATGTGCTTCATTTTACTGGTTTACTTGTGCTCTTAAATTATATCCTTAGATGCCAACTGCTTAACCTAATATAAAATCTACTTTCTTTTGTACTCATTTCTGGCAAACTTTTTAATTAACTGATCATTTTTGCACTCAAGTCAGCCTAGCACAAAACCTGTAGACAAGAAGCATTAAATTATTCATCTCTACAAGAATTAAAAAAAATATTCTACAATATATTAAAAAAAAAATTGAGTGTTATGAGAAGAGCATACCTGCATGTCAGAAGAGGTGTCATCTTCAGTGTCAATATCTTTAACTCTACTCTCATTTGATAGATGGTCTGTCTTCTTATCTGCTATCTGGTCCTCTCTTGGGCTTGAACCTTTATCAAGTCTTTGATCACAATTCTGGGCTGGTCTTATACTAGTTTGGTGAATCATTCTAGTCTCTGATTTATGTTCAGGTTTGTGAGAGATTCTGGGTGTTATGATTTTATCTTTCCTGTGATCAAGTCTATGAAGTGATCTGTGAGGAATATGCTGTAGGTCACCATCTCTGTGATAGGGAGCAAACCTGTGAGGAGTCATCATGTTACCAAAAGATGACCCAATGGTTGTAAAAGCTTGTGGACCAGAAAAGCGAGTCAGGGATTGTGGGCTAATACCAGCACGTGGTTCTATGATTCTTGGTGTCTGAGAACCATTTTCCTCCCGTCTCACTTGCTTTGGGTAAGGACTACTTCTGTCATCTGTTGGGCTCCATGTGTGGCCAAACTTCATGTTACTGCAGAGAGATTCATCAGGAACTGCTAATCCCTTTATCTGCAAAGCTTCTGCTACTTTAATAAGTTGTGGAAGGTCACTCTGCGCCACACTAACTACTCCAGCGTACATGTAGCTCAAGAGGGCTTCCATCTCTTTACAGTAAACATCCTTCAGAACAACAATTGGATGTTTACATGGTGTTGTTTCAAACATTTTCATGAAGTATTCACTGCATGTTGATAAGACAAGTTTGTGTACAGGGTAGAACTTCCCATCACAAGCCAACGTGACATCTGTGTACCTCTCCTGTGGGAAATGGAAATATATAATGCACTGTATAGTACATGACTGAGGAGACATTTCAAAACATACTGTAATGCAATCTGAGTAAAACTATGAAAAATTTTCATAAGGCAACAACATGTATTAAAAATAATGTGGAAGAAGGCAGCTCTCTTGTGTACCTATTCTATATACCAGTAGTGCCAATTTTTCAGATGCAATTGAAAAACTGTATCCAAAATATAACAGCACATACTATGAAAACCTTTTCACATGCTGTTTAATTTTGAATGTACTTTTTCAACCACATTTACTGAAACTGCAGTACATAGAGGCCCTTTGCGAAAGAGCTTACTGTAATTTGCATATCCTATGTTTAAAATATAAAAGCATTGATTTACATCAGGTGAAAAATTAATGCCACTTCCATAGTGATTTCAATTAAAAAACATAATTAACCTGAAAATCCTCATCAGCATATTTTAAAGCAAAAAAAAAAAAAATGAGAAATGTACTTTAACCTATTTACAAACTACTACTACAGGTTGACCATCACTAATCCATCATCATAGGGACCTGTAGGGTGCTAGGTTAGTGATTTTGCCGGATTACTGAGTGGTTAGTTTAGAATGCACTTAACCCAATGGCGATATTTATACATCAGTTTCACCCACTTTACACCCTAATTTTGGCCCATTCCATTGTTCCAGTCTATCAAACTCATAGCTACATATTTTGCTAGTATTCTTTCTATTCTGTAGACTGAGTACAAGAAACTGCCCATTTACCTATTTTGACTACCCAAAAAAGGTGGTCAGAAACAGATAATTTGGCCAATTTCACACAAATTTCAAAATAGCGTCCAGAATAAACAATGCAGACATTCCAAGCACTAAAATAACATTTTCTCTGCTCATTAGTCATGTTTCCAGGGCACTCCTATATTACACTTGCTTTCCATTTTGAATTTTTATTCACACAAAAAATAAAAGATTTACTGTTATGCAGACTACTGCATTATTGCATAAATAATGTCAACCCATTCATGACTGCATATTAGACCATCCAGTTGGACAGTTTACTCTTGAACATAGGCAAAAATCGAACATTTCTGCTATTTTAAGCCCAATTTTAAGGTACTTCCCAGCGTGAAACCACTCAAAATTATATCTACTTCTGTAATATATCTTCCATTCTATCAAATGAGATAAAAAACGAGAATACGACCATATAAACCACATGAAAATACCTAGCAAAGTTGCTGTTTTACACCAAAAAGCAGTCGCCTTTTTTCTCATTGTGCACTGTGCTGCAGGATTTTTTATACAGTGCACAATTACCACACAGACCTATTCTCTCATATGTAGGCCTAAATTTACTCAAGTCTCCAGGCCCCTCTTATATTATGCTTGCTTGTCATTTTGAATTTTTATTAACACAAAAAATGGAAGATTTACCGTTATGCACGCTTCTGAATTATTGTAATAATTGTATAAATAATGTCAATCCATTTGTGACTGTGCATCAGAACGGCCAGTTGGACATGTACTGGACAGCGATGTCATTTGTTTACTCTTGAACATCGGCAAAAAACGAATATTTCGGCTACAGTGGTCCCTCAATAATCAATCGTCCGGCTCGATAGTCGTCCTTTTCGGAAATCGTCGCATTATTTTCGTCCAAACATTGGCTCGCAAATGGTCGGTTGACTCGCTAATCGTCCTTCGTTCAGGACGCGTACTCACGCTCTGAGCTGCCTCAGCCTCCCTTCCCAATCAGTATGCCATTGTTTACCAGTGAGCGACGGTCCCCTCACTTGTTCATACGAAATATTTCACAACATTCCGTTCATTTTAGTGCTTGCAAGTGCTATTTAAGCTATCATGGCTCCAAAGAAAGCTCCTAGTGCCAAGGCTTTGGTAAAGAAGGTGAGAAGTACGATTGAATTTAAGAAAAACATCATTGAACAATTTGAAAGTGGCATACGCGTGGCCTAACTGGCCAGGATGTATAACAAATCCCGTACAACCATATCTTCCTTCATGGCCAAGAAAAAGAAAATCAACGAAGCTGTTGTTGCAAAGGGGGTAAATATGCTGACAAAAATGAGATCACCAGTACTCGAAGATGTTGAGAAGTTATTATTGGTGTGGATAAATGAGAAACAATTAGCAGGAGATACTCTTATGACGTCGATTATTTGTAAAAAGGATAGGCAGTTGCATGACGATCTGGTAAACAAATTGCCTGCAACGAATACTGATAATTGTGAATTTAAGGCCAGCAAAGGTTGGTTTGAGAGATTTAAGAACCATAGTGGCATACTCAGTGTGATAAGGCATGGTGAGGCTGACAGTTTGGACAAAATTGCAGCTGCAAAATTCGTAAGTGAATTCAAGGAGTACATAGAGGCTGAAGGACTGAAACCTGAACAAGTGTTCAAGTGTGACGAAACAGGCCTCTTTTGGAAGAAATTGCCAAAGAGGACCTACATTACTCAGGAGGAAAAGGGACTGCCAGGACACAAGCCTATGAAAGATAGGCTGATGCTCATGTTTTGTGCGAAGTTTTAAAGAGATGCCAGAAACAGAGCTCTCTGGACACTTTTTTTGCAAGACAGGACTCCAGTGACTGTCAAGCTGGTCCTAGTGGCATTAAGAAACAGAGAAGAGAAGTAACCCCAGAAAAGGACTTGGTACCTGAGGTGTTGATGGAAGGGGATTCCCCTTCCAAACAGAAATTCAATGTCTCTCCTCCTCCAGTCTTCCATACACTAGGAAGAACCGCCAATAAAGGTAAGTGTTATGCTGTTAATGTTTCATTCGTCATGTGCCATTGTACTGTTTATGTACTACATCTATATTTCATGTAAAAAATTTTTTTGTTTTAACACTTCTGGGTGTCAGGAACGGATTAATTGTATTTATATTATTTCTTGTGGGGAAAATTGATTCGAAAATAGTCTATTTCGATAATAGTCCCACTTCCAGGAACGGATTATGCACGATAATTGAGGGACCACTGTACATCCCGTGCATGGTGGTGGTAGTGGTGGTGCCGGTCGTGAGGCACCAGCAGTGGTCCACGCTGCCACCCATGCCGCTGCCTCAGCTGATCTACAACAAAGCCCACGATCCCCCACCCACCCACAACACCAGCCTCCACAACCACCTGTCATTGTACAGTACCCACCAGCAGACCGCACCTGGGATTAGCAGGAAGCTGTCAATTTTGTTCCAAATCCCCACCAGTTTCATGAAAGCCAAAGTCGAATATGGCCATGTTGTACACTGGGGAACAATGCCACTGAACTGGAATGTTTCGAGTTATTCTTTGACGAACCCCTGATGGAAATTATTGTCAGGGAAAGCAACAGATGTATCTTTTCTTTGCCACAATAATGCTTATGCCACATGTGTATAAGCACTGGTCAGCAGACCGCCTGATTGCAACCCCAGGTTTCAGTGATATAATGGGAGTGAATCGATTTGTGCTACTATTTCGTATGCTTCACTTCTCAGACAAAACCAGGCCTGACAAAAACGACAGGTTATATAAGATTAGGAATGTGTTTGTGTATCTGAAAGAGAAATTAAATATGTATTTTTATCCCTTCAGGAAGCTTGTAATTGACAAGTCTTTGATTCTGTTCAAAGGAAGACTCTTTCAAGCAGTACATACCAAGCAAGAGGAAACGCTTTGGTATAAAGTTGTTTGTGCTTTGTGATTGTTACAGTGGTCTTGTATTGGATATTATTGTGTACACTGGAAGTTATACATTGCAAAATACCAGGAAGTTATTGGGCATCTCTGGTGATGTGGTCAGAACAATGATGGAACCATACCTTGGTAAGGGGCATATACAGTGGACCCCCGCATAACGATGGCATCACATAGCGATTAATCCGCATACCGCTTGCTTTAATCGCAAAAATTTTGCCGCGCATACCGATTAAAAACCCGCTCACCGATTTTCGTCCGAGACGCATCCAATGTGCGCCCTCAGCCAGCCTCACATGTGCCGCCCGTGCCATTGTTTACCAGCCAGCCTCCACGGTAACATCCAAGCATACAATCGGAATATTTCGTATTATTACAGTGTTTTCGGTGCTGTTTCTGGAAAATAAGTGACCATGGGCCCCAAGAAAGCTTCTAGTGCCAACCGTACACCAATAAGGGTGAGAATTCCAATAGAAATGAAGAAAGAGATCATTGATAAGTATGAAAGTGGAGTGCGTATCGCTGACCTAGTCAAGTTGTACAAGAAACCCCAATCAACCATCGCTACTATTGTGGGCACCAGAAAGACAATCAAGGAAGCTGTTCTTGCCAAAGGTTTAACTGTGTTTTCGAAACAAAGATCGCAAGTGATGGAAGATGTTGAGAGACTCTTATTGGTGTGGATAAATGAAAAACAGCTAGCAGGAGATAGCGTCTCTCAAGCGATCATATGTGAAAAGGCTAGGAAGTTGCATGAGGATTTAATTAAAAAAATGCCTGCAACTAGTGATGATGTGAGTGAATTTAAGGCCAGCAAAGGTTGGTTTGAGAGATTTAAGAAGCGTAGTGGCATCCATAGTGTGATAAGGCATGGTGAGGCTGCCAGTTCGGACCACAAAGCGGCTGAAAAATATGTGCAGGAATTCAAGGAGTACATAGACAGTGAAGGACTGAAACCTGAACAAGTGTTTAACTGTGATGAAACAGGCCTGTTCTGGAAGAAAATGCCAAGCAGGACCTACATTACTCAGGAGGAAAAGGCACTCCCAGGACATAAGCCTATGAAAGACAGGCTTACTTTGTTGATGTGTGCCAATGCTAGTGGTGATTGCAAAGTTAAGCCTTTATTAGTGTATCACTCTGAAACTCCCAGAGCGTTCAGGCAAAAGAATTTCCTCAAGGATAATTTGTGTGTGCTGTGGAGGGCAAACAGTAAGGCATGGGTCACTAGGGACTTTTTCTATAACTGGTTACACCATGCATTTGCCCCCAATGTGAAAGATTACCTAACTGAAAAGAAATTA